ATTCATCAATTCATTTTTTCACCTTGAGGCAGATTCTGTTGTGTCCCCAAAAATATAGAAGTGGAGGTTCATTTATTTTACTGCAGGCCCATAAGACCTGCTCTGAATTGTCAGTGTAAATGATGATGATGTCCTCTTCCCTGTCATTAAAAACTGAAAACCGCTCTAGAAGGACACACACTACTTCTGTACCTTTGCTCCTCAAACAGTTTGTATTTGTGTCTGCTTTTTAGATGAACTCCAGAAGCAGCTGTTAGAGCAGGTTGAGATGAGGAAAAGACTGGAACGAGAATTTCAGAACTTGAAAGGTAAGCCAGATTCTGCAACAGTGCCTTTTCCACCACTCTGGCTATTATCACTGTGAAAGTGATGTCATAAATAGAGACTCTAAAGTCTTACAATTCAAAGTTAAGTGCTTCTGTCGTGTTCGTGATCCAGGCCTTGCCATGACCGGATGCACCTCAGCAGTGCCATGCATGAGCTCTCTCTGCAAAGCAAAAAAATCAGTTAAAGGGCGTCATTCCTCAAAAAAAAAAATACTAAGTGGTTCAGGGACACACTCCCTTAATAGAATGTGTTAACAAAACCCATTTACACACAGATTTGAGAGGATTGTTATTTTAATCTTAAATCCAAACATTCTCACACATGGTTTGAAAATAACACTGGGGAAGAAAGTTGAGACGCAGATATTTTGGGGCTCAGTTGAATTTAGAAACATTGATACAGTGAATACAAATAACTGTTAATATACTGTGGTTGTACATAGAGGGAATTTTTTCATCTTAAATGTCAAAATGTTGAAAGAATTGATCTTAAGCTGTTTTGAATTTTAACACAAGGGAAATGTTACAGATAATATCAGTTTTCAGAACATCTTATATATATATGACACACTTGAAACTCCAAACTGGTGCCTTAGCAACTGACTAAATAGATCAGCTCTTCACACTCTGATTGGGTAGACAGCTTTTTGACAAAGGTAAATTAACATGTAAAATGGATATTACAAGTAATCAGTGATAATAAAAAAATATATATAATATTAAAAGAAATAAAAAGCATATCCCTAACAGCTCTAGTTGGTACAATTTTATTTAACTTTACAAAACTGCAAATCTCCAGAAAGAGGAAAAACAATAGACTTGTTGATTTTAAATGTTTACATCACTGAAGTTCAGCACACACACTAAATGATCTTTGTGGGTTTTGAGTCCAAGTCAACACTATACTCCACAGACCAGTGTGTGATAACAGCGACTGGAGACTGAAGATGCAGCAAAAAGATCTCGTTCATGTATTCTTCATATATTACTGTTGTTTAAAATCATGTTCATCTCACATGATCAAGACTATGCATGTTGAAGGACTTTAAATTAATTCCGAATGATACAGTGATAAATTGTGCACATTGTTGATTTCTCTATAAACAAACTATAGCAAAAAAACATTTAACACTTCCAGCTTTTTCAGTTGTATTCTGGGGTTTTATGTATCATTGTCTAATTTCTTTTTAACAATGTACCAGACTCAAACCCATAAATGTATTTTCTGTACATTCATTGGTGATATATGGATCCAACTATTGTGACAAAAGCAGTTGACTCACAAAATAGTGTGACTGGTGCTCCATCTATAGCGTTGGTTTTACTAGAATTATTCTATATTTTTACTGTTTAGATCTGGTCTAATCTTGATCTGCAAACAAGACCAAATTAAAATAGTGACAAAGTCCTAAATTTACAAGTTAAAAAAAACCTGTGTGGACTTAATGATATACTTTATGATTTTACAGCTTTTACTTGCACTTGATTGCTCATTTCAATAATGTTTTCTCAACAATAAATGAAGTATAGATAAATTACAGGTATTTTTTTTCTTTTTTAATTAAAAACTCTGAGTCCTATCTCCACTATAAAGCTCTCATTGAAATATTTTCACACCATGGTCCATGTTGAGGAGGCCTTGGGTTTTGGTTGGTTTGTATCTTTAGCTTGAGAACAGCGCCCTGTGCAGGCGAGTGAGTCTGCGAGTGGGATCTCTGTCTTCACGCTCTTAAACATAAAAGCTCAACCAATCTTCAAGGCTCCTTTAAATATTTATGACAAACTCACACATGGGCTTTATTTGTGTCGAGACTGGTTAACTCAACACGTTTCTTCTATGGAGTTCTGTTTGTATTGATGGTAGAACCTCACACTGACTGAAATGTGTGGCTCACATCTGTCCCTCAGATAACTTCCAGGATCAGATGAAGAGGGAGCTCTCCTACAGGGAGGAGATGGTTCAGCAGCTTCACATCGTCAGAGGTGAGACACATACAAGGAGCAGAGGGAGCGGACACATATACCTTCACTTTCTATATCGATTCACAGATTGAACCGCTGTGGCCCGTTTTACTGGCGTGATTGATGATTGACAGTTGAAAGAGCGTAAAATGGTCTTTGTTTGCGCGATGTCGTGGATCAGTTTGGGGTTTCTTGCGGAATTCACATGCACTTAAATATACTGTATATATTCTGTATTTTACTAGGGGGAAATCTTATTGACATTCAATTCTCTTTTACAAGAGAGAATGAGTTTATGTTGGAAATCCTTAATTGGGGATTTTCCTGCCTTTTACGCATAATCGTAGTGTTTTCCTCACATTTGCACAGGCACGTGACCTAATGGAATTTACAAAGAGACGGAACATTTTCCTCTTAACACTTCACAGTGATTATCAGTGCTCGGTGCCTCTCACGTGTCTTGGTTCAGCAGTGGCTCATGCTTGACACTTAAGTTGGACCAAGGAGGCACGAGTTGAACTTCTGTAATAATTGTTATCCATGTTACATTAAATACATCTATGGAGGTGGAATATAAACCAGGGTGCATGTAGATATTCCTGCAGTCAGAAGCCCCACAGACAGATTTAAAACGTCGTACACCTCCAGACTATAAACTCTAAAAGTTCGATCAAAACTTTCTCAATGTTTTGCGCACGGTCGTGAATCCGCTGATCGCATTACTGCTCTCATCAAACCTACACATACGCGTGTGTAAAGCGATTACCCAGCCTCCTTTACGCTATATAAAATGTCTATTATGTGTCGTTTTCGCGTGCACGTTGCACGTTTGATGGTTGTATCCCCTTCTTCATAGAAGCTCACGACGCTTTGCACCATTTCTCGTGTAAGATGTTGACTCCTCGCCACTGCAGCGGCTCCTGCTCCTTCAAGTCTCCTCTGCTGCCGCCCTGAACCACATCACTCCACGTTTGTATACCTGACCTGATGAGGACCAGAGAGGACACATCCTCCTCCCTCCAGCTCCTGTCCAACAGCAAACGAGGAGGAGGACACAACAACCACCAGAGACACTCAAGTCCAGAGAAGACTAACGTGTATTATTTCCCTGTAATATTGAAACATGTGTATCTACACTCCCAGCGTTCATGTAACCATAAAGATGACATTTGTTTTTCTTTCCTGGAATAATACAGTTGATATCTATTATTTGTGGCAAAGTGCAATGACAATGTATATGTACCTTGTAATAGTTCTAGGTTGTTCATTATTTATTTATTTATTTTGGTTTTCTGTTGTCAATAGCAGCTTGGATTAGCCCATCCATTGCTCCTGATCCTCACAGTATTGTGAATTAGCCTACCACTACTTTTTACTGTGTACTCCTCTGCAGGCCATCAGCTTGGTTGTTATGCACTTTAAAGAGTGAAATTTTAAAAAAAATTAAAAAAAGAGCCTGTGCATTGAAATTAGGCCTAAAACAAGTATATAGCGGTCAAACCATGCATCCTTTTTTTCTTTTTAACAAACACAGAAGTTAGTAGGCTAAATGAGTTCACCTGCAACCTTGTAAGTAGCCACATATTGTATTAAGAGTAGATTATTTGTTCATGTCATAGTTTTCATCTCTACTAAATAAATCATTTAATGAAAAGAAATGTGGATTATTCATCTGAGCAAATGTTTATTCGCAAAATGACAAACAGCAAAATATGAACATGTGGATCATATAACTCTTAATTTGACCCATAAAGGAAAAGCAAAGACTTAACTTTTTATCCCAACTTTTATGTGGTGGATTATCGACATTATCAATTATATCCAATCATATCAATTATGTAAAATAAATCAATTGAACTACCCAGTATTGAACCAGCTATTGTTCATCATTTGTGCTTGATTAGCCTTTAATTTTCTTCCAGTTGACTAATCAACAGTGGTGGAAGTTCTCTGTTCCTTTGTGGCAATATCACAATATAAAAATAGGTCACGTCAGTGTCCTGATTTCCTTATATGCAACAGTTCTACTTGAAGTATTCAAATTAAAAGTATCCTACTTGATCCTGCATAAAATCCTTGACTGACATATTATGATAAAAACTTAACATTGACATAAATATATTATAAACACTGATGCATTAATGTGTAAGCAGCGTCTTACTGTTGCAGCTGGTTTGAAAACCTCATACCTCCTTATATAAAATTATGTTGGATATTATGTAATAGATAATTAGTCATATATGTGGTTCCCAACCTTTGGACCTCCTCCAAAGGGTCATCAGATAAATCTGAAGGGTCACGAGATAGTCAAGAGGAAAATCAGTCATCATACAGGAACACTTCTTTTGTTTTTGTCTTTTCTCTACACATCATTTATTTATCCAGTGAAACACTCCAGGGTGTTTGATATTTGAATTGGCTCTTTGAATTCAGAGACATTTAAGTTTGAGGAGTAGCTGCAGTGTAAGAGCACAGGAAGTCCCCCGCGGGCCCCTCGCGGGCCCCTCGCACGCTGGGTGAGAGTGGTTTGTTTATAGTTTCTTCAGCTGGTCCCTGTGTATGTGTCTGTGCTCCGGCAGCGCCCCCTGCTGTCCCCTGCCGAGAAGCGACGGACTATTTTGAATCGTCTCCGTCCCTTGAGGCTGGCTGTTGCGCATGCGCAGCCAGTACAACAAGATGGCGGAGAGTGCGGAACTGAAGGTAAAGCTAGCCTCTACCGTAGCTTGACAAATAGACGTTTCCTGCTGAGATATTTCACTTTCAAACCACCGCGTCGTTGTTGTTCGACAGTAGAGATGCGAGGAGCGGTGGGATTGAAGCGTCCAACGAAACAGCGACGCAGGGAGGCCCGGGCTGCCTGTTAGCTGACTGGCTAGCTCGTTAGCATTAGCTTTGTTATTGTTGCCGACGCTGCGTTAGGCTGCCCCCGCTGTCCCCTGCAGATAAGGCCACACATCGCTTTCAGGAAAAGACCAAAGACACAGTCGTGTCAGCGCTTTTGAACTCAATGGCTCCGTAGTTCCACCCACCTGACAGCATCAGGGTTTCACTGGCAGGACCGCTGGGTCTCTTTCAAAAATCGGGCTCTGTCTATTCCCTGGAAGACGAGCGCAGTTTATCTCCCAACGTCGGTCTCATCTCTTGAGCAGATACGATGTAAAAAAAAAAAACTAAAACACAGAAACAATCGACAGCCTGCGTAGGTTTGATGTTGACCCACGTTGGTGGTTACTATTCAAACACACGGGGCGAAGTAAACAATGTAAATGCAAGTGTTTCAGTCGGATGACACCTGTATCGTCCAGGCGCTGTTAGCTGCTTTATTATGTTTCCTTCCTCCTATCGACAGGTGATCAATACACAGTAGCTATCGATCTCAACGCGAAACATCCTTGTTTTGATTGTTTCTCTCTCCGAACCAATCTCTGCTTTGTTGACACTACCTTCACCAGACTGGTTTATGATCCGTGTCATTTAAACTCAGTAAATAAATGAGCTAACGATGCATTTAACAAAACCCAAGAGCTCAACTCATGCATTAACAGTGACTACTTGTGCTACTTATGTCTGATGGTATGTGGCCAGATTTCAAGCGTCATCGGGATGTTTACTGTTCCTCAAATATTTACCTCTGGCTGTTTCACTTGGAGCTAACTGTGCTAACAAATTCACAGATTACCTCGACTGGTCATCACAGTTTGACAGTTTCTAGGCTTCATAATATCAGGTTGGCTTTTTTAAACCTAACATCAAGTGTTTGATTTGTTCACTAGCAGGGACAAGGGGTTATTATTATACTGGGTGGACCTAACCTTTTGCCTTTGCTTTAATGAATTGCACTAGGATGTTTGTTATTTTGTGGAGTATTAACAAGGATTTTAGATTGTGTGTTCTTGTTAGATGTTTCTGTTTTTGATAATCTACAACAAAAATAACAAGTCCTTCACATGAGATAATACAAGATCACACTCTACTTTCTGAAAAGATAACCTAAGTTGAATCAACATTTCTGTGACGCTGTCTCAGGAGGCCTCTCTTGTATTGGATTTCATTTTTTCGTACAGATATTTGTGTTATTGTGTCCACACCCTGTATTATCACTTTGCAGTTTTGGAGATTTACAGATTATGGATTTGACAAACTAGACTGTCGATGAAGTCACCTCAGAGGGGGTGTTTGTTACATTTATTGTACGATGACGTTCATATGTTTGTCTTCATTTAAAACAACACATAGTGGGACACATTTTATGGACAATTCGCAAGATAGCAAAGGATATTCAGGATCAGCCAAGCAGCTTTGTTTTTAACAATTCACTTCTAAAGTCAGGATGAGAAAAAAATTGTGTTTCTTTACATCAGTGTAGTAATAATGTGTTATCCAGGGTATAATAGACCATTTTTCCACTCTTTATTTTTCACCAGCAAATGGTAATGAGCCTTCGAGTTTCGGAGCTCCAGGTGTTGTTGGGGTATGCAGGGCGGAATAAGCACGGACGCAAACATGAACTTTTGACCAAAGCTCTCCACCTACTCAAGGCTGGTTGCAGTCCTGCGGTGCAGATGAAGATCAAGGAGCTCTACAGACGGCGCTTCCCAACCAAAATGGTTTCGCCGGTGGACCTGGCCCTGCCTGGCGTTCATTCTGCCTCCAGCCTGCCTGCTGGCCTCGCTCAGCTGGGGTTTGACAGCCACGGTTCTCCGTCACCTCTGCTGCCTGTTTCTTTACTTGGGCCTAAACATGAGCTGAGTCTGCCTCACCTCCCCTCTGCCCTGCACCCAGTACACCCTGATGTCAAACTCCAGAGACTACCATTCTATGATGTGCTGGATGAGCTCATTAAGCCAACCAGCCTGGGTGAGTTCACCACTTCATGCTGAGCTCTGGGGCAGTGATAACACTTTTGTCTCCTGTGTTTACTGATGGAGCATCGTGACCACAGATATCTTATCCACGACTTGCCGAAAGGCATGCTCTGTAAAAGTTCAATTGTTCAATGTAGTGTAGTGATTAGTGTTTTCTGTAGGTTTGTCCCCTGACTGTGATGTTCTGTTTCTAATTTCTTTTTCGTAGCCTCAGATAATAGTCAACGGTTCCAGGAATCATGTTATGCCTTCGCATTAACACCACAACAAGTTCAACAAATCAGCAGCTCCATGTAAGTGAGAAAGCTCTGGTGCAAATTGTCTTAACTAAGAGAGAATAACAAATAATACAGTGAGAGCATTGTAACTATCTTACGACTACTTATCTGACACCCATCAATCACAGTAATCAGAGTTATTATTAAATATCTGTGCTTAACTGTTCTGACCAGTGTGACCTGACTTCTCTTTTTATCCTTTAGGGACATATCGGCGACTAAATGTGACTTTGCTGTTCAAGTCCAGTTAAGGTATTTCTAACTATCCTGCTTTTCTTCTGAGTACAAAATCCTTCTGTTTTAATCAAGATGTATGTTTGCTCTAAAGTAAGTATTGTGTTAAGCTATTCTCAGTTTTGAACTAAAAATACTTGTACAAGTCACTTGTACAGTTCCATTACATCATTATTTTTGTCTTAAAACCTAACTGCACATCATATAAACATCCCTGTGGTCCAGATTCACTTTTATATTAACATGTACAAAGTTAAAACGATTTAAAAAAACTTTAAATAAAAAAACGTATTTACTTTAATTTACATTTACAGGTGATGTTAAATAACAAAGCTAGAAGTTGTACCATGATAACCGGTCCTGAGCAGTGGAGTGAGGTGTGCAGGGCATGTCTGTGTCTTTGAAACACATGGAACTTTATCCATTCTATAAGAAATCAATGATACAAAAATGAAAGAACAATACAGTCGAAGCACAGTTGCAGGATAAAATAGTCAGTGTTGGGATGAATGCCATCCTTTAAGAAGTGCTCTCCTATATCATAGATGGAGATGGCTGTACTTGACACAACTGACATGGTAAAATAAATCAAGCAAGCCAACCTTTTTGTGAAAAGTGGCAACAGAAACAAATTACTTTACATTAAACTTATCACTTTATGTAATGTACTTTCTGTGTTTTCAGATTTTGTTTATCAGAGACGAGCTGTCCCCAGGAGGATCACTTCCCCTCTAATCTGTGTGTGAAGGTGAACGGCAAACCCTGTAATCTCCCGGTGAGTCCACGCAGTTTGTCGTTAATCTGCCCTCTTATTTTGGCTCCATACGGCACCACCAGTCACTGACAATCCAAGTCATTGATGTTTTTCTGCAGGGATATCTTCCTCCCACCAAAAATGGAGTTGAACCAAAAAGGCCCAGTCGTCCTATCAACATAACCTCTCTCGTGCGATTGTCCACCACAGTCCCCAACACAATTGTGGTGTCATGGACCTCGGAAATTGGGAGGGTAAGAAGATCCATATCAACATTGGCAAAGTGTTATGAAACAGCTCTCGTAGCACAAACTGTTTTCCTTCTTCCTCTGAACCCTTGAGGAGGATATTTGACCTTTTTACTCATTGATTTTATTCTCTTTTATCAGAGTTTTTCCATGGCTGTTTATTTGGTAAGACAGCAGTCGTCTGCAGTGTTGTTGCAAAGACTAAGGGCCAAAGGAATAAGGAACCCTGACCACTCTAGAGCTTTGAGTAAGTCACCACTTCATTCTGTTGAACTTGCGTTGCCATTGTAAGAAAAGGAAAAGACGGCCCCATAAATGTACTTATTTCATATAATGATGGATTGGAATTTCCAGGAAGTAAATTTAGGACATAAAAAGAGAACTAAGTTCTGTTTGGACTTTAGTTCCTCTGTGATTCCAGTAAAACTCAATTTGTTTACTGTATGTGGAGCTATACAGTAAATCCAAGTGTGCTGTTTGTCTTGTGTTGTCAGCTGTATTCTGTGTGTATCGGTCAAGTATTAGTAGCTAAATTTGGGGGCTAATGAATAAACAACATATTTCATTCTAATTTTTTATGCAATCAAGTTCATTCTTGTATTTAATCCTTGTGTTTTTCTTGCTCTTTCTCACAGTCAAAGAAAAACTGACGGCAGATCCAGAGAGTGAAATCGCCACCACCAGTCTACGAGTCTCACTCCTTTGTCCTGTAAATACTATTCACTACTGTACTGCTTGATAACGAAAACCTGTCTTAATGTACAGTGTATTATAGTGTAGAGGGAAAAAATGAAGAAGATGTATATTATTGCTTCTGCTATAATTTGTCGTATATCGTTGTATACAGTATGAGAGTGATTTTTATCTTGTGTTTTATTTTTAAAGCTGGGGAAGATGAGGCTGACAATCCCTTGCAGAGCGATAACATGCTCACACCTTCAGTGCTTTGATGCTACGCTTTACATCCAAATGAATGAGAAGAAGCCGACCTGGGTTTGTCCAGTCTGCGACAAGAAGGCTCCATATGAGCACCTCATAATTGACGGGTGAGCACAACACTGCTTCATCTACGGTATGAGTCCTTTTTCATGGGTGTTTTCGGCAAGTGAAGTATAACACAAAATGTAAATATTTATATAGTTTGACTTAAATCTAAAATCTGTACTTTTTTAATTAGTGTATTGTTTATTATATCCATCTCAAACTCATTGCCGCTTCAAATGACCGCTTACTCTGCTTAAGTCCTCTGACCCGCTCACACTTTCACAGTGAACGGAAAGAATCTTTTTTTCTTTTTTATAGCAGAGCTGTACATCGATTTGCTAAGCCTCTCTCAGCTCCGCGCTCTCCCTCACACAGTGAAATGCACATACTGAAATGCTTAAAAAGAACATTTGGTCTTTATCAACAGCAATGACAGAAATGCTTGTGGAGACATTCTAACATCAGGTGTGAACAGATGTATTCGGAGATGTCCTCTTATAATTGGATCACAGATATAAATATCAGGTCTAAACAGGATCGTAATAAATCCAAAAAACAAAACTGTATTGAAATATCATGCTGTTTTCACAGGTTGTTCATGGAAATCTTGAGTAGTTGTTCTGACTGTGATGAAATCCAGTTCAAAGAAGATGGAAACTGGGCTCCCATGAGGTCAAAGAAAGAGGTGCAGGAGGTGTCTGCTTCATATAATGGTGTCGACAGCGGTATGTAGCACATAGACTTCACATTCTGTACATGTGCTCATGTCATTAAGATCTGTGGGCGGAGAGTAACATTGGTGTTTCTTCTCAGATTCGTCTCGAACAGAAACACATGTGCTAAAACGGGGGTCATCTAACGACAACAACAAGAAGGTTGATGTGATTGATCTGACACTGGACAGCTCCTCGGAGGACGAACCTGATGATGAGCCACCTCCTAAAAGGGCCTGTCCCTCACTTTCACCAGTCTCTCCACCCCCAAACAAGGGGTGAGTTACCACACCACAAGCAGGAAGTGTTGTGTTGCTGCCTTTTGTCATTAACATGAAAATATTGTTTCCTCAGAGTTTTGAACCTACACAGCCAGGCTTCACCTGTGACCAGAGCTCCCAGCATGCCCTCTGTGGAGACAAGCTACATTCCTCCTCCTCCACCTCTTATCCAGGACTACCGCCACTATTACCACACAACTAGTGACCTGCCAGGTACACCTGTCACCTGCCTCAAAAATCAGTCTGTCCCAGGGATTGATCACACTAATCATTCTCTCTGCTCATACTGGCTGTGAGGCCTTGCATTCCAAGTACAACTGCCAGGGGTGTAATAGTACAATAGTTGTACAGAAGATTTTTGTTATGGGCCTTTCAGTTCTGCACGCATGTGTACCGAACAAATCCAGTGCTGCAATTTGAATCTAAATGTTACTGCAAGATCAGTGCAAATTGTACATTGTAAATGTACTTTATTAGTAGCTTGCAGCCATATTACAGAGTTTAAGAACAAGAGGCATTCTCTGTTAAGTAAACTAGTGTTTAATTAAAAACAAGTGTTTAATGCAGTTTATAGTTTACTGAACACGCACCTAACCGTGACCTCAAAACATTCTGAACCATGAGTTCTGTTTACCATTACACCCCCCGCAACTACATCTGTAAGAAATGGGACAAAAACCACAGTTCCCATTCGTGCAAAAATGAATTACTATTATTTTACCAATTCAAACAATTATGTTTCAAACCTTTAAAGCTGAGTATTAAGATGGAGAGAGGACAGGATGGAAACATTGTCCCTGATCTAACACTGTGTTGGGAAGAGATGACCCCCACGGTCAGAATGGAAGAGGGCCAATAATCAGTTTACACAAGACAGATTTGACATAGACCACTAACTGAGACCTCTTTCTTTTCTTGCAGATCTAAATTTCTTCTCCTTCCTCCAAGGCGACAATCAGGTATATATACAGTTACCTTACTCGTCAGTGTCCCAGCATTCCTCGTGAGTCCTACACCATGCAGTCCACAACTTACTCCAAAACCCATACATTTTCATGTATTTGTCTACTAAATCTGTCACTTAGAAGCTACTGTTCTCCCTATGTTTCGTATAAACAGCCCCTAAACTAGAATGTAGTGTCACAAGGCAGCATCGTACTTCGGTATAAGCTTGGTTGTTGTGTAACTGTGGATTTCCTCTTTTTCTGTAGCATTACAACATGGTGATGGCTGCCGCAGCTGCTGCATCGGCGTCCGAGGACCACGAGCTGCTCCTCAACCGTTTCCTGCCCTACGGCTCCTCTCAGATGCTACGGGAGCAGCCGAGCACCCCGGGGAGCAGCACGCTGGCAGCCACCAACGGAGGCAGCAACAGTGGCAGCACCAGCAGTTTGGTGTCGTCCAGCAGTCTGCGGGACAGAGACAAAGACAGAGAGCGAGACCGAGACAGAGACAGCCACGCCCTCTCAGGATTGTCTAGGTCCTCGGTGGAAGCTGCAGCGGCCATTTATGGCTCCATATCTGACGTTATCTCTCTTGACTAGACCCACACAGAACTGAAAGACACAGGGGACCTCGAGAACAGGAGTACTTTGTAAATAAGCAAGAGGAAGATGAAAGAATACAGTCCTATGTACAGAGAGGAAAATCTATTTTCAATTTTACTTATCATATGTATATAAACTTAGGACGCTTCTTGTCCAGTGAGTTACTTCAGTTGATATTTTTCTGTGAATACTGAAGACTTTTTCACACCTCTTCATGTGGTCCTTTGATTATATTGTATCTTTTGTACCTGGTTTTTACAGTTTTGTTTCGATATTCCATGTCAATGGCATTATTTCAGTATGTTACATGCACAGAAAACAGTAAGGTGACACATTATGGAAAGCGACATTTAGAATATAAAGAAAATGGGCATTGTTATAGATGTGCAAAAGGCAAGTAAGAGCAAAACAGGAAAATGTGTAACACTTTCTCTATTTTCTAAATGGCATGATTTCTGTCAAGGACAATGTTTTGACAACAGAAAGATCTGGCCATTTCCGCCATCACTGTAGATTTTTCTGGAAGACATTCATGCTGTGGTCATATTATTTTTAAGGAATTATTTATGATGTAAGTTATGTTGGATGTATGCTGTTTTATAAAGAAGCATTCCCTATGCCTCGAGGAACCGTTGCCACTAGAATTTGCAAAAGCAAACGCTACATCCTTCTGTTGTCACGACTCTGCACTCGTTTCCTTCTCCTTTCTGTCAGTCAAATCAAACATGAACATTTTTTTCAGAGTTCAGACTCTATTTAACTAACATAAATATTGGGAGTAAGTCAGTATTGTAAGAGCGGGTTTTTTCAGTGTGAATGGCTCTAGTCCAGCAAGCAGCCTTCTCTTGGAAAGTGACACAATTGGACCTTTATACACATTTGAGATTTGCATTATTGTGTATTTTCTTTAAAGCACAGCTGTAATACTTTACGTAAAAAAATATACACCGTGAATGACAGTGAAGTGGCCGGTGGACAAATTCCTTCTCCACTTTCAAGACAAGGCTAGTTTCTGGTCCACTTAAAGTATTTATTTAGTTGAAAGGCTTAAAAAGTGTTCAGCGAGTGCAAGTGGGTTAATGACATTTCATGATAACTTTATGTTTGATTTAGCACTTGCTTTTTTTTTTTTCTCTAAAGGTTGTGTGGATCTGTGAAGCGTTCACAGTTCATCATGAGTAGTTTTCAGCTTTGCATGTGTCTGCGAATTACCTGAAAGCTCACCTGTTTGAGTGCCATGCTGGTCCTCAGTGAGTCCACATGCAGGGTTAGCAGAGCCCCATGTTTTTGTTGTTTAGTGTATTTACAAAAGCCTTTAATTAAGATATCTGTGATAGCTTAGTCTTCAAGTGTATCACAACATGCATTTTGGCCTAGAAGTTAAAAACCATTGAAGTTATCATGGACACACCCCCTCCCTTAATTTTTCTTTACTTGTGCTTACA